AATAAGCGACGAGATGATTTCTACACTCATTATCCCATTGTCCCAAAATCTAATCATTTCTAGGTCTAATTAAGACCTACCCTCCTACCAAGTTTCATGACAATGCATATAGATCTTCTTGGGTTATGCTGTTCACAAACAGACAGACAGACAAACGCTACTCAAAACATAACCTTTTGGCGAAGGTAATTAATATGTGCAAGTCAGAAGACGTTTAGTTTCGGTAATCGTTCGTTCTTCTTTTGGCACTACCGGTTCTATTCCACAAAGCCGCTAGATGTCTCTGCTGTCATCTGAATAATGAGGTCCTACGACCGCGGTCCCTAAACTCAAAAACTCAGAACTTTCCCTCGAACATCAGCCGGCCAAGGATGGCTGACGTTCGGGAGCAGTGATCGAATTTGAGGTAACTTAACATTTCACTGCCAAGCACGCTGCAACCTACTTCAAACACCAGCTAGCCTGGTATCCAGTCTGATCGTGGTCGGGCTCTGTCCCGCCCGCCTCACATAGGTTTCCCGGTGTGTATTTCACGAGAGATTGATTAGCCCTCCACGAACACGTTGGGGGAAACCAAATCCCCAAGCATACTCTTATTAGCGCAACTCTCCTACCGGGACAGCCTGTTGCACTGGGCGGGGGAAGCTATTAGAGCCCCCGAAGACACAACCTGCCTGAACACCCCAATACCCCCAATCACGATCGGACTGGATACGAGGCTAAGACACAGCCTGCCTGAACACCCCCAACAACCCCAATCACGTAAGACTGGATACTAGGCTAAACACCTTTCAACCATGGTCGAACCTTTCGTCCAAACCCAAATATTTGATATATTTTAGAACATTCGGCTGGCGCAGCCAAACAGTAGCCTGACACAGACCCTGGACACAGAACAGCTAGCTCGTTCGACTTTGCTCTCCACCTACTCTAAACCACGGTTCCGTCAGTGATCGGAGGGCATATTTCACAATTCTCCGATGACATAGGAAAACATTTATTGCACGACAATTTCACATGGTATAATGTACGGCAAACTACATACATAAAATGTGTTGAATAGCACCTAATGTCAAATAAAACCTAACACATTTTAATTACTCAAACAATACGGCACACGGGTATCTAGCACAAGTATTTGTTAAAGTGTTACAATCGAGTGGGCTAATCACAAGTTTCTGTATTTTTTTCTAATAACAAAGCAATTCTTTATATATCTACCTTTTTGTGTTGTGAGAACCACTACATGTAAAGATATATTCAAATCTGCCTCCAACATCAAGATTCTTAAAATCTGTTGTACTGAGATATGCTCCAGACGATGGTCGCGTCTACATCAATCTAACAAATTGGGATGACGGAAAATGTGTCAAACTGGTTAGAACTGGTATACTATTTGGTTTTCGCCACGAGGCAAGTTTATTTTGCGTTACAAAGCCCAGGGGACCTACCAGGTGTTTAAGGTCAGCATAAGGTACACCTTCAGGAAGTAACTGTCAATCAAACGTCCGGGGATGTTTTGGTATGGCGAGTCGTATAATTAGATTTTTCGCAGCTACTGCAAAGTCTAAATTTTCCAGTCTAAAGTATCGAGAAAGGAAATATTATCGCAGTTGTATCTCGCGTTGGGGCAGACGGGACTCGGTGTATGTTCTTCTAATGGGCTATAGATGGTGCACGTTTTTTTTGTTTTTATTGTATATGTGTTTTGGGGCGTAAGAATATTTTGTATTTCATGTCTCGGACACCCCTTAGAGTATGAAAATGGTCGCGCGGGTTGACCTTTTGCGGTTACATCTTTGCCTGTCAATCAGCACACTCGGCTCGGGGCCGCCGGTGTTTTATCCTGGACCAACTACGAAAGGTCAAACCGTTGCAGGCCGCGGTCGACGCCTAGCTGGTCGGACTGGGTGTCCAGTCTGCAACACTCCTGGAGGAACAGTTGCGAGTAGTTGAGTTGAGTATGGTTGTGGCGGACCTGGAGAAGATACGGGGGCTATGAGCGTGTACCCAAGCCGTCAGCCCGGTCCTGGAGCTCACGGGGCGCCGGGCTGGCTGCCGGCAACCTCCCCGGGATGGGGCCAGCACGTATACAGCTCGGAAACTCTGATCTCGGAAACTCTGATCTCACACGAGGAACGAGTGTGCTTGTACATCGTGTCGTTTCGACCATTTCTGCATCTTCTGCCCGAGGAGACGGGCATTCTCACCACTTCTCGACCGAAACCTACCTCTTCCCACTGTTAACAGGAAATATGTACCTTGAGACATGATACCTCTATATGTGTGTCCGATGTATCCACCCTACAATCTACCTGTTTTAAGGCAGAGTTCTTCTACGTCATACATGATGTAGAGGACCGGAGATCACTGAAACCTACCTGTTCCCACTGTTAACTGTAAATAAGTACCTTCAGACATGATACTTCTATATGGAGTAGGACAGGAACTCGGGCACAGGTTGCTGTTGTTCTTGTAGGGTGTGTCAGCCTCCTTCTGTAGCTGATCCGCAATGTAGTGTCACAAACAACCCAGGATCGGTCTTACGAAAATGGTTGAGTTAATTGTCTGAAGCTGGCTATTTGAATAACAGTTATGACGAAAGTTCAAATCATGCTGCCCGTCTCATGTTGCATATTCACTTGTTTTCGTCATACCAGCATGAAACCTTAGAAAAACATACTAATATCAGATTTTCAAAGATTTGATTGCGTCAGACAGTAGCATTTCAAATTCTTAAATGACTTTTTTTATCTTGGATGAGACTGTATTTGTGTTTGTCTGTCTGTTTAGCTATAAGATAAATCTAGAATTAAATGGATTAGTTTTCTATGTGGTATTCTGTGAGAAAAAATTGAAAATGGTTACATTTTCGTCTACCTGGCGGTTTTCCATGGCACTGCAGCTGAATTCGCAGGGTCTCTGGGAGAGTCACTGAAGGAATCACAAACAAGAATATGCAAAGTTCTGCTGTATTTATTAATGAATAACATGAATCAACGAATGACAATTATTATATTTATGCCCTTACACTTACAGGCTAAGTACATGTCATAGTGATTGAGTTCTATGGATAATAACAGTGGTACAGCTCATGGTGTCTTACTACATGAGATTCCAACAATTATAATATAAGTACAATAACCCTAAAAATCATCCTTGCTGATGCCTCTTGAGATGACACCAATAGTTTAGACTTTCTACAATACTTTGCTATTAGAGTTCCAGACTTAGGCCGTCCATAATTATACATTGTATACTTAACACAGAACAACAAAACACTCTTTCCCTGTTCTTGGTAGGGCAATCAATCATAGAATCAAAGTTGGAACAAGTATTCGAGTTAAACATTGAAAATACAACCATCACACCATCAATAGTAAAAAGTTCAACATTCTGAAATAGTTATTACCACAATTGTAACAATACAACAACTTCAAAATGAAAACAACTTTTTTAAGCAGAGTCAGAATTGATGCCTTTAAAATGAAAATTTACATCTTTATACTTTCTGCAGTACATTGCTCTGCTACTAGAGTTCCTGACTTAAATCGTCCATAATTGTACACTGTATACTTGGCACAGAATGACAAAACTCTCTTTCATTCCTGTTGGTCATTTAAGTTTTTAGAACAACTATTAAAAAACGTTCAAGATTGCAAAATACAACTGTGACATCATCAATAATAAAAAGCTACAGATTCTGAAATAGTTATTACCACAATTGATACAATACTTAAGATTCAAAATATAAAAAAAAACTAAAGCTGAAATTACTGGTGCAAAATTACTTTCATTTTAAAACAGAATACTTAGCATTGATGATATTTATACTTTATGTAGTACATTGCTCTGTTACAAGAGTTCCGGACTAAAATATTTCATGATTATACATTGAATATTTTTTCACAGAATAACGAAAAACTCTTTCCCTGTTCTTGGTAGGGCAATCAGTAAAGTTGGAACATCTATTAAAGTTCAACTTTGCAAAATACAGTCGTGACATCATCAATGTTAAAAAGGTAGTTGTAATCACAATAGTTAAAATACTACAACTTCAAAGTAAAACAAAAACTAGAGCAGATGTTACTGGGCCAAAAACCACATTCCTTCTAAAATTCAGTATTAATACATTTAAAATGTTTTGTACAGTGCATTGCTCTGCTACTAGAGTTTCAGACTTAGATTGTCCATAAAATACATTGTATACTTAACACTAAATGACAAAACACTCTTTTCCTGTTCTTGGTAGGTCCTTGATTATAGTAAGAACTGTAACTGTTACAATGACTGTTCCTGCACAGTATGGATTGTTAAATATAACATCTGTACTCGTTTACAAATGCAACGAAATATTACACAATAAAAGGCTCTCACTCAAACGTTCCAGAAACAACTTTTGCAATGAGATTTTCGCATAAAAGTGTCATATAGGGTTAAGATTGAAGTCTGTGATTCTTCAAGTAGCTTAGAATATTCATCTTGTCCTTGGCAGACAACAGTCTCGGGTTTGAGCTGAGAGTGCCCACAACCCAATACTAGTGGACTACATTTTCATAATAAATTGTAATTAAGTTATACATCTGAAGTTGTGTGATGTCACAATGTTGGGTTCTTTGATGATTTTTAAATGTACATAGTGTTTGGCTGTACGGCAGCTAGCACTTCACTATGTGATAAATCTCCCACTTTAAGAGATCGAATATCGGCTCGAAACTGATCCTGCATTGTCTGATCATGTTTATTGGTTATTTCTGAAGACGATTCATCTTTTGTTTGTGTATTTTCATCTACATGCATAGGGGTTGGCTGAAAGGCAGCAGGCACTTCGTTACGTGACAGATTTGCAATTGTGGGACTTTCACTTTATTTATTTAACCAGAAATTAAATCTCGGGTCATTCGGCCAGCTTTTCAGGTAATCCTGGATATACATTGAGCTAATGGATATTGAACGTTAGCCTGAGATTGGCCCTGCCCTATATTATTATGACACTTGCCATTACAGTAGCTGTGGTGTTTGTGTTGGATTCAGTGAATCTGAGACTGGCCTTGTCCTGTCTTTAGAAGATTGTTTTCAATATCTTCATACTGGTAATAATGATCACTGGTCATTTCAGTAGCTGTGGTGCTTGTGTTGGATTCATACTGACCCTGACCTGTCTGATCCTGACCGCTGGTCATTACAGTAGCTGTTTTGTACACAGAATTTAGCTGTGAGGCAGTCGGTACTGTGCCATAAGATAAATTTCTGGCATCGAGGGATTCAGTGATGGCCTGATACTGACCCTGCCCTGTCTGAACATCTCCACTGGCCATTACAGTAGCTATTGTGTTTGTGATGGTCTGAGACTGGGTCACAACTTTATATACAGAATTCTGCTGTGAGGCAGTCGGCCCTGTACAATAAGATAGATTTCTCACATCCAATGATTCAGTCACGGTCTGAGACTGACCCTGCCCTGTCTGATCATGACCACTGGCCAATACAGTAACTATTGTGTTTGTGTTGGATGCAGTGTTGGCCTGAGACTGACCCTGCCCTGTCTTAACACGGGGTTTATCTATCTCTTCATACTGGTGATTATCACCACTGGCCATTAGAGACGCTGATGTGTTTGTGTTGCCCCCAACAACATTGGGATTCAGCCTTAATGGAGATGTCTGATCCTCTTCTTGTACCAAATTACGACCAAGAAGGTCCCAATCAGAATAGTGCTAGCAACTGAACCACAGCTAGAGCCAATGGGAACAAGTAGGGGGAAATTGGGAGCAAATTCTGGTTTCTCCGAAGTGATTGCAAGGGGCGAAGTTAGTGTTGCTCTTGTTTTGCCGACATGATCTGACATTGGGGCAGCATTGAACTTGAAGTACCAGTGATAGTGAGAGTTGTATGATATTAAATGGATATCTGCTATTCGTTTTGATGTGGTTAGCTGAGGGGAACTGGGAGCAGATTCTGGCATCTCTGAAGTGATTGCAACGGGCAAAGTTAGTGTTGCTCCTGATTTACTTGTTTTTTCTGCAGGATTTGCTGTTGAGCCAGCAGTGGCTTTAAAGACTGATGGGCTAGTATTGCTTTCTGTGTTACCAACTGAAGATGTGGACACTGCAGCTGAACTGCTATGAACAGTTAGTGGTGATATGGTTGGCTCTTTACATATCAATTCTTTAGGGTCGACATGCGCAAGCTTCTGTCCCTGAAGTTTGGCGGGTTGGGCACAAATTATCTGGTTCTTAAATTCATGGATTAGCTTGAAGGGGGCCATCTTACAGTCACACTGCCAGGGGTTCCTGCCAAGCTCTATTTTGATAGTAGAAGGCAAGAAGCAGAAGACTGACAGGGGAATGGCCGTCATCTTGTTGTTGCGAAGTCCCAAACCATTTAAAAGTGGCAGATTTTCAAATGCACCAGAATTGATGGTAGTTATCTGGTTGTAGGACAGGCCCAAACGCTGTAGCTTGGGCAGATTTGCAAATGTACCAGAAGGGATGGTAGTTATCTGGTTTTGGTCCAGGGCCAACGTTTGTAGCTGTGTCAGATTTGCAAATGCACCAGACTCGATGGTAGTTATCTGGTTGTGGTTCAGCGACAATTTTGTAGCTTGGGCAGATTTACAAATGTACCAAAGAGATGGTAGTTATCTGGTTTCTTAACAAGAACAACACTTGTAGCTGTGTCAGATTTGCAAATGTACCAGAAGGGATGTATTTTACCTGGTTGTGGGTCATGTACAACTCTTGTAGCTTGGGCAGATTTGCAATTGCACCAGAAGGGATGGTAGCTATCTGGTTGCGGGACAGGGGCATTTTTTCTAGCTTGGGCAGATTAGAAAATGCACCAGAAGAGATGGCAGTTATCTGGTTGTTTCTCAGCCACAACCGTTGTAGCTGGAGCATATTTACAAATGTACCAGGAGGGATGGTAGTTATCTGGTTGCATTCCAGGAGCAACTCTTGTAGCTTGGGTAGATTGGTAAATGCACCAGGATGGATGTTAGTTATCTGGTTGTTATAAAAGGATAAATATTGTAGCTGGGACAGATAAGCAAGTGTACCAGAAGGGATGGTAGTTATCTGGTTGTAATCCAGGTGCAACTTAGACAATTTTTTATACGGTAATAGCTCAGACTTGTTTACAGTTTTAATACGGTTACGCGTTAACATTATCTCAGAGATGGATGTTGGGAGGTTCTGAGGGATGCTGGTGAGATCTTCTTTGCGGCAATTGCACCATGATGGTCTACAGTAGCAGCCAGCTTCTGGCATGTTGGGCTCCTTCAGGATGATGAGAAGGAAAATCAGCACGTGTCGCAGCTTTCTGTCCATGGTGTCCTGCCACCTGAACAGAACGGAAAGCTCCTCAGTAAGGCCACTCCAACTTTATGTTGGACCTCGAATTTTAAAGAAAAAAAATGATAACTTGAATATAAACATAAGGTCCCAGGTTAAACTCTTGGTTTGTACAAGAGAAAAATTTTGTTAGACTCCAATTGTCCTTGCATGACTTTGTTTTGCCCACTTGGTAAATCATAAATTCCTCTAAAAAGTCATAGAACAAAAAATCACGTTGGAGTGGCCTTAAAAAGTCAATGATTTTAGAACATCTCTAGGTGTCCATTGTGACTTCGTTTTGCCCCTTGTTTTCTGTTAAGTATATATGTAGGATTGAGAAGGTAGCAAGATGCCTTTGAGGTTAGGCTTTGGGTTGTTGACTTAGAATCTGAAGGTTCTGGGTTCGAATCGCTGCAAGGATATCCATATAATTTATATATATATATACATATATCATCATTAGAGCACAGCGTATTTTAGATTTGTCGCTTGGACCCGTGTTGATGATAACTCCCGGTAATGAAAAATCCGCATCCCCGTCACATTAAAAAGTCTGACAGCCCCGCCCGAAAATACAGAAAACAGCCCCGTAAACTACCCGGCGGGGCCCCTGTTTCCAGTTGTTATGGTATGTGCCTGTTAATTGTCTGAGACTTGCTGCTTGAATATGGATATCGTGTTCTTCTTGTGGCCCTGTTTTGACCTCCCAGACAAGGAACAAACCAACAGAAGACAAAAAATATTGTATACTTTACTTCCATTTCTGAAATATCATGAAAAATTAGCCATTGTAGGACTGTGTTCCTTAGGTACGTGCACTTTACTGAATAATGCAATTTCAGAAAAACTCCTGGATAATCTAGTGAAATAATCTGTGTTTCCGTGTTCATTTTGGAAAGCCTTGTCATAGCAAAATAGTTGTAACATCAAGCCTTTAAATCAGTTTAAACAGACTTTGTCTTAGCAAAGTCATGATGGTTTATCTGTAGTTCCTGATTTCAGCGCAAATTTTGCCAGTAGTGCCACGTCACTAAAATACAATATGAATATAAATATGAATAAAACAATATAAATAAAACAATGATGGCGCAGCGCCCCTGTTACCTCTGTTACAAATAACATTTTCTGACGTCCTGACTTTTTTGACAGCTATCTATCTGATTGTCTTCAGTAAAAACAGCAAACCTTCCCCCGTCATATCTCCTTAGAGAATCAAAATCTGATTGCCAGCCTTACCTATGGGCGTGGGCCAGTGGCAAACTGCCTACAGGGCATTTTACCATAACTGTTTATCCACTTGCAGACACATACCTTTCAAGTTGGTCAGAATAGCTTCAGTTGATACTTTTTTGACAGAGACTCGGACACAGGTTGTTGTTGTTCTTGCAGGGTGTGTCAGCCTCCTTCTGTAGCTGATCTGCAATGGCGTGTGACAAACAACCCAGGATCGGTCTTACAAAATTGGTCGAGTTAATTGTCTCAAGCTGGCTATTTGAATATCATCAATATCTATGATTACGATAAAAATTCTAATGATGATGCAGGTCCAGAGATGCATATTTACTTGTTTTCGTCACCAGTTACGTATTACCAAGCCGCTACTTTTAAAATGTATCGGATTGGTAACTTGTATATTGGAAAGTTTCTGCATTAAAGCATGGAAATTGTGCTCTGCTAGAGGGTTTTTACACTTAGATTGTCCATACTTAACACAGGAAGGCAAAACATTCACTACCTGTTGCTAGCTTAGTAATTGGTGTTCAGTAACAATAATATCAGCACCCCTGCTGGCAATAATGGTACTGACCTGTTGACAGGCAACATAGCAGATATTTATGGCAGCGAGTATCAGTAACAACTCAGTAATATATCCATTACTCCTGCCTGTATGGATATCTATATTCATACAAGCATCACGAGTGAGTGAAAAACACAATTTTTCTACGAAAGAATTTTTCTTAATATTCTATGTTGCCTGACCAGCTATTATGATAAAGAACGAAGTTGCCAGAAGCTGGCATGATGGCTGTTTTATTTCTATTTTAATGATAAATAAGGCTTTTTCCGCCTCAGGCACATACATTCTGTATAGGTTAATTATTCTATAATCTGTTTCGTTCGATTATCATATTTACTTTCTGTATTGTTTTGTTTTTATATGCAAGTGCAAATAAAGTTAAACAAATAACATCAAGCCTTAAAAAGGTTAAACAGACTGCGGCTTGCTGAGGTTGCATGGTTTATTTGAAGTTCCTAGATCTAGTGGAATTTTTACCAATAATACACGTCACCATATAAAAGTATTATGGCGCAACACCACTCTTGCCTTTCTTAGAACTTACCTTTCTTTTCCTAAGCAGATACTGAGATGGAAATTTTCATATTTTAAGACTTTTTCTGACAGCTATCAATAATTTTCGTCAGTCAAAAATAACGTTATCATTTACCGCCACATGGAGAATTAAAATCTGATTGCCAGCCTAACCTATGGGCGTGGGCCAGTGGCAAACTGCCTACAGGGCATTTTACCATAATCATTTCTCCTCCCGCAGATACATACCTTTTACGTTGGTCAGAATAGCTTTAGTTGTCACTTTCTGGACAGGAACTCGGGCACAGGTTGCTGTTGTTCTTGTAGGGTGTGTCAGCCTCCTTCTGCATATAGCTGATCCGCAATGTAGTGTGACAAACAACCCAGGATCGGTCTTACGAAAATGGTTGAGTTAATTGTCTGAAGCTGGCTATTTGAATATTATTTATGATGAAAATTCAAATCATGCTGCCGGTCTCATGTTGCATATTCACTTGTTTTCGTCATACCAGCATGAAACCTTAGAAAAACATACTAATATCAGATTTTGTAAGATTTGATTTGCGCCAGACAGAAGCATTTCAAATTCTTAAAAGAATTTTTTTTTTAAATCTTGGATGAGACTATATGTGTGTTTGTCTTTCCGTTCACCAAGATAACTCTAGAATGCTTAAATAGATTAGTTTTCTATGTGGTAGTCTGTGAGAAAAAATTGAAAATGGTTACATTTTCATCTACCTTCGACATGTACAACAGACTGATTTGGAAATGCATATTTTTAATGCACGCATCATTAGATATCTTAACAATCTTTTCCTGAGAGAAGGGGGCAGTCCGAATGCAAGTATGGTTTTAGATTAAAACTATTGGCTGAAGAAGTTCTGGTTTTGTTTAAATCTATATTTGCAGGGGCTCTGGGAGTTACGTTTCACTGAGGGAATCATAAACAAGAATATGCAGAGTTCTGCTGTATTTATTAATGAATAACATGAATCAACGAATGGCCATTATCATATTTATGCCCTTACGGGCTAAGAACAGATCACAGTTCTATGGATAATAACAGTGATACAGCCCATGGTGTCTTACTACGTCTAATTCCAACATTTTAATAGAAGAACAACAACCCCCAAAATCATCAGTGTTGATGCCTCTTGAGATGACACCAATAGTTTAGACTTTCTACAATACTTCTCCTACTAGAGTTCCAAACTTAGATCGTCCATGATTATACATTGTATACTTTACACAGAACAACAAGCCACTCTTCCCCTGTTCTTGGTAGGGCAATCAGTCATAGAATCAAAGTTGGAACAAGTATTCAAGTTAAACATTGCAAAATACAACCGTCACACCATCAATAGTAAAAAGTTTAACATTCTGAAATAGTTATTACCATAATTGTTACAATACAACAGCTTCAAAATGAAAAAAAAAACTTTTTAAGCAGAGTCAGAATTGATGCCTTTAAAATGAAACTTTGAATCTTTATACTTTCTGCAGTACATTGCTCTGCTACTAGAGTTCCTGACTTAAATCGTCCTTAATTGTACACTGTATACTTGACACAGAATGACAAAACACTCTTTCTTTCTTGCTGGTCATTTAAGCTGGAACAACTATTAAAAAAGTTAAACTTTGCAAAATACAACTGTGACATCATCCATAATAAAAAAGATTCTGGAATAGTTATTACCACAACTGATACAATACTTAAGATTCAAAATATAAAAAAAAAAAAACTAAAGCTGATATTACTGGTGCAAAATTACTTTCATTTTGAAATAAAATACTCAGCATTGATGATCTTTATACTTCATGTAGTACATTGCTCTGTTACAAGAGTTCCCAGACTAAAATATTTCATGATTATATATTGAATATTTTACACAGAATAATGAAAAACTCTTTCCCTGTTCTTGATAGGGCAATCAGTAAAGTTGGAACATCTATTAAAGGTCAAATTTGCAGAATACAGTCCTGTTATCATCAATGTTAAAATGTAGTTGTAATCACAATTGTTACAATACTACAAGTTCAAGGTAAAAAAGAACTAAAGCAGATGTTACTGGGCCAAAACCACATTCCTTCTAAAAAATTCAGTACTGATGCATTTAAAAGGTTTTGTACAATGCATTGCTCCGCTATTTGAGTTTCAGACTTAGCTCGTCCATAAAAATACATTGTATACTTAACATAGAACACCAAAACACTCTTTCCCTGTTATTTGTGGGTCCTTGATAATAGTAAGAACTCTATCTGTTACAATGACTGTTCCTGCACAGTATGGATACTTAAATATAACATCTGTACTCGTGTACAATTGTAACGAATTACACAATAAAAGGCTCTCACTCAAACGTTCCAGACACAACTTTTGCAATGAGATTTTCGCATAAAAGTGACATATAGGGTTGAGATTGAAGTCTGTGATTCTTCAAGTAGCTTAGAATATTCATCTTGTTCCTTGGCAGACAACAGTCTCGGGTTTGAGCTGAGAGTGCCCACAACCCAATACTAGTTGACTACATTTTCATAATAAATTGTAATTAAGATATACATCTGAAGTTGTGTGATGTTACAATGTTGGGTTCTTTGGTGATTTTTTACAATGTACATAGTGTTTGGCTGTACGGCAGCTAGCACTTCACTATGTGATAAATCTCCCACTTTAAGAGATCGAATATCGGCTCGAAACTGATCCAGCCTGTCTGATCATGTAAACACATCACTGGCCATTTCTGAAGACGATTCATCTTTTGTTTGTGTTTTTTTCATCTACATGAATAGGGGTTGGCTGAAAGGCAGCAGGCACTTCGTTACGTGACAGATTTGCAACTGTGGTACTTTCACTTTATTTATTTAACCAGAAATTAAATCTCGGGTCATTCGGCCAGCTTTTCAGGTAATCCTGGATATACATTGAGGTAATGGATATTGAGCGTTAGGCTGAGATTGGCCCTGCCCTACATTATTATGACACTTGCCATTACAGTAGCTGTGGTGTTTGTGTTGGATTCAGTGAATCTGAGACTGACCCTGCCCTGTCTTTAGAAGATTGTTTTCAATATCTTCATACTGGTAATAATGATCACTGGTCATTTCAGTAGCTGTGGTGCTTGTGTTGGATTCAGTGATAGCCTGAGACTGACCCCGCACTGTCTGATCCTGACCGCTGGTCATTACAGTAGCTGTTTTGTACACAGAATTTAGCTGTGAGGCAGTCGGTACTGTGCCATAAGATAAATTTCTAGCATCGAGGGATTCAGTGATGGCCTGATACTGACCCTGCCCTGTCTGAACATCTCCACTGGCCATTACAGTAGCTATTGTGTTTGTGATGGTCTGAGACTGGGTCACAACTTTGTATACAGAATTCTGCTGTGAGGCAGTCTGCCCTGTGCCATAAGATAGATTTCTCACATCCAATGATTCAGTCTCGGCCTGAGGCTGGCCCTGCCCCGTCTGATCATTGCTCTTGGCTATCTCTGTAGATGCGTCGTCCTTTGGTGTTAATTTTACATCTAAATACATAGGGTTTGGCTGTAAGTCAGCTAGCACTTCGTCATGTGATAAATTTCCCACTTTCAGAGATTGAATATTAGCCGGAGACTGACCCTGCCCTATCTGATCATGATCACTGGCCATGGTAGCTGTGGTGTTTGTGTTGGATTCAGTGATAGCCTGAGACTGACCCTGTCTTGTCTTAACACGGGGGTTGTCGATACCTTCATACTGGCGATCATCATCACTGGCCATTACAGTAGCTGTTGTGTTTGTGGTGGATGCAGTGACAGCCTGAGACTGACCCTGCTCTGTCTGATCATGGCCACTGGCCATTACAGACGCTGCTGCGTTTGTGTTGTTCCCAACAACAACACCGGGATTCCGCCCTAATGGAGGTTTCCTGGCTCTCCTCATCTTCCAAATTACAGCCAAGAAAGTCCCAATCAGAATAATGACAACTATTGAACCACAGACAGAGCGAATCAGAACAAGTAGGGGGAAACTGGGAGCAGATTCTGGATTTTTCAAAGTGGTTGCACGGGGCGAAGTTAGTGTTGCTCTTGTTTTGCCTGCAGGGCTTGATGTTAAGTCAGGATCTGACATTGGGGCAGCATTGAACTGAGAGTTGCGAGAGATTTTTTTACTTGTGTTTTCTATTGTGGTTGCTGTTGAGCCAGCTGTGATTTTAAAGACTGATGGGCTAGTATTGCTTTCTGTTTTACCAACTGAAGGTGTTGACACTGCAGCAGAACAGCTATCAACAGTTAGTTGTGAGATGGTTGGCTCTCAATTCTTTAGGATTGACATCTGAAAGCTTCTGTCCCTGAAGTTTGGTGGGTTGGGCACAGATTATCTGGTTCTTAAATTCATGGATTGGCCTGAAGGGAGCCATCCTACAATCACACTGCCAGGGGTTCCCGTCCAGTTTTATATTGTCAGTAAATGGGGACAAGCAGAAAACTGACAGGGGAATGGCCGTCATCTTGTTGTCCCAAAGTCTCAAACGATATAAATCGGGCAGATTTTCAAATGTACCAGAAGGGATGGTAGTTATCTGGTTGTCGTTCAGCCACAACTCTTGTAGCTGGGGAAAATTTACAAATGTACCAGAAGGGATGGTAGTTATCTGGTTATAGGACAGGAACAACTTTTGTAGCTGGTGCAGATTTACAAATATACCAGAAGGGATGGTAGTTATCTGGTTGTAGGACAGGGACAACCATTGTAGCTGGGGCAGATTTGCAAATGTGTCAGAATTGATTGTAGTTATCTGGTTCTGGGACAGGGACAAGTATTGTAGCTTGGACAGATTACTAAATGTACCAGAAAGGATGGTAGTTATCTGGTTGCTATTCAGGCGCAAGATAGACAAATTCGTATACCGTAATAGCTCAGACATATTTACAGTTTTAATATGGTTACCTATTAAATCTAGCTTAGAAATGGATGTTGGGAGGTTCCGAGGGATGCTGGTCAAGCCTAGGTAGATGCAACTGCAGGATGATGATGGTTCACAGCTGCAGCCAGCTACCGGCATACTGGGCTCCTTCAGGATGATGAGAAGGAAAATCAGCACGTGGCGCAGCTTTCTTCCCATGGTGTCCTGCCACCTAAACAGAACGGCAAGCTCCTCAGTAAGGCCACTCCAACTTTATGTTGGACCTCGAATTTTAAAAATGATAACTTGAATATAACCATAAGGTCCCAGGTTAAACTCTTGGTTTGTACAAGAGAAAAAAAAACTTGTTACACTCCAATTGTCTTCCAATGACCTTGTTTTGCCCTTTTGGTAAATCATAAATTCCTGTAAAATGTCATCGAACAAAAAATTAGGTTCGAGTTTCTTCAGAAAATCAATGATTTTAGAACATCTCTAGGTCAATTTCCAGTGTAACTTCGTTTTGCCCCTTGTTTTCTGCTAACTGTAGGATTGAGAGAGTGACAATATGCCTTTAAGGGTTAGGCTAGGGTTGTTGACTCAGAATCAGAAGGTTTTGGGTTTGAATCCTGCAAGTATATATATATACCCCGAGTTCGCCACTTTTTAACATAAATCACACATTTCAAAGGAAAATTCCATGAACCTCTTGATGATATATGGCCATGTCGAAAGAGTTTTTGTTAGACTTTTTACATACGTGTTACCATGGTGATTGATCGAACGTTGAGGTCAAGGGTCAACCTTCTACTTTGCGACGTAACTAGGGCGGTAGTTCCAAGGGTGTACCCCGAGTTCGCCACTTTTTATAATTTGTCAGGAAGTATCAAAATAGGGATTGAAAGTGTTTTTTAGCCTTTGGATTTTATTCCTAGAGTTAACGCTTACTCGTTTGGGGGTAGTAAAACAAATACTTTGTGGCGCATCGGAACGAAACGCGCCATTTATTTGGACATAACAAGGTCGGTCCTCTGCGACGTAACTGTGGGTCATGTTCGGCGTTCTAGAGTCCAGCATATTACTGAACCATGAATATACAAGTGGGCTTTTGAGTATCTATTTGATATAATGTTACTTTTATCATGCTACCAACGTATAACTGAAACTTACAGCTTTGATCAAGAGTCCATACCAACATCTATTTAACGGCGCATAAGTGAAGGGTTGCAATGTGTTGCGTACGCTGCTCACGGCAACTTGTTCCAGGAAAGAACGTACAGTACAACCTACGTTACAGTTGCCACTTTGTCGCAGGAATACCCTGAAATTAACGCGGGAATACGGCTAAAATGTCCTTGGTTAGATTTGGCAGGGAGAAGCGTAATTACGGAAAATACAGCGTGACTTTTGCGTTAATACCACGAGATCCTGCTACACTCATATGCGCAGCACGGCAACTTCAGAGAAATGGAGGGCGGAGCACTCTTTGTGGATTTCCCCGCCCCTTCTCACCGGCACGACGCGAGGTCCTACGTTTCAGCAGCATTCCCATCGGCCTGAACTGTTGCGGGCGTCCAGACACCAGCACCCGTCGAGCGGGAGCCTGGAGAAAGAAGTTGTTGTTGTTTTTTTGCTACCGTCCGGGGACGTTATTTTTCCCTACATTTTTTTTTTTGGTTTGTGGATGGGGGAAGTGGATTTGGTGATATAATAGCATCAAGGAGAGTAGACTACGTTGTTGTTCACACCTCCAAACTCAATTATTCCCTTTTCCTGTTTTCAGGTACGTGGCTATCGGCCAAGTCTGACGATAGGCCGGACATTCAAAACAAACACAAAACATACACATTAACTTTATTTTTTATTGCTGTGTTTTGGCGACTTCGTTTGTTTTTCGTTTGTTCGTTTCATGTTACCAAGGGCATCAGATAACGTCCTTGATGTTACTAACAAAAACACTAACACTTTTTTACTGTTACTAACACCTAATATTAATCAGAGACAATTTAAACAAACAGATTGTAATTTTTACGATGTAGCTAAACGTACTAATCCGTGATAGACAAGTTATTATAACAAATCTACAAAGGTAAGTTAAGCAATATTTTTCTAACAATTATAACACAAAGGCTTTTATCTTGCGCCAGTGTCGATAAAGCTCGATAAATCTTGCTGGTGTAAAAGTGTTGCGATTTGTCACATCCACGTTAGGACTGTTGGGATCTTCGATTGCCTCTTGATATTTCCAACGGGGGCCCTGAATGGAGGTCCGCGCTGAACATCAACTATGACCAACTATAAATGTAATAAATTCAAATGTATGCCTTTCCTCTTAATGTTGCCAGAGGCTGATATAGAAATGCAAAGAACGACAAAAAAGTACAAAATAAATTATGGTACAGTCCAGTTACTTTTCCACAACTTTCGTGACAGCAATAGTTCATCTGTACTCAAGCAAGGAGGCATCGACAGAATGGTACGTATTTGTCTTTTTGTTTGTCACAAAATGTCCATTGCTCGTATCCTTGTCTTCCGTGACAAGATGATTATGAGCACTGCGGATTTATTTCTTCTAATGCCTTTTAAAGAATTTAACATGTTTAACGGATCACCAAATTTTAACGGGAAACCGAGAGGCACGCAGGAGGGTGACTACCTTGGGCAGTGGAGATGCACCCTCGGTAGGCCTGTGTGAAGCGTGGATATACGCCGTGTTGAAGATTCATCTGCAAAAGCTGACTACCCGTACACAGACAAAAGGCATACCCGTGCGGTTACGTCAATATTGACCGCCGCAACGATACTTACTTACCATAAACAAAGTTTTTTTCCTGTCAACCTCCTTGTCTAGTCGACTATTTTCAAACTTCAGTCGTTCAGATATAGATACAACTGAAGTTAACAGGTTTAAATGAAAGGAATGATAAATTCATTACTTTTTCAGTCTAAAAACTCCAAAACTAACTATGATGAAACTATTAAGTATTAATTAGGTCGCAACCCTGTCGTCTGAAGCCACCACGTAGTTCTGAAGCCAGACTGGCGGCTTGCGGACTCGGCTGGAGCTTGCCTCTGGGTGCTGGTGAGAAAATATTAAATTCGTTTTGTCTTTGACAGTAAGTTCAATTGTGCCACAAGATTTAGGTTAACAGCATATAAAAAAAGACAAGTCGAGGATAGAGTCTACATAAAGTTCACTACACAACTAACCAAGTAAATACGTGGCGTTGCTATTTTCTGCAATATTTCACTAATTTTTCATTGTTAACAGTTCGTAAAATGAGCTCAATTCTGCACAGACATAAGATCATTTAAAACTCGGTGTTACCGGTGTGTGTACCTACCGCTGACAGCATAGTTCGGGAAGCTGCTGGCAATTCCTCGTTCTCCTTCTCTTCTCGCTTGCGTTTTTTCCCCTTCTTTTGAGCACCCTTCTTTTGAGCAGGCGGCCTCTCTGATTCAACTTGATTCTCCTGCTTCTCTCTCTTTTCCCCCAATTCCGCTTTTCCTGTCTCATTCTTCTTCTTCTTCGCCAATCTCTCCTCCCTCTTTTTCTTTTTCTCCACTTTGCTCTTGTAGAACTTCCGCCGATGTGAAAACACGCGCCGTTTTTATGGCCTTGGAAACCCTTGTCTTCTTCTCTTGTACCTGTGGCGGAACTAGCAGGTCCGACAGCTCGGTTGGCACCATCCTGCCAACCAACACGTTTGTGCGAGGTGGTCCGCATGTCTTGCATCCTGGGGCCCTGCAGGGCTGGCATGATGGTACATGGGTGCCATTGTTGACTTCGGAATCTTCTTGAGACGTTGAAGGGACATCGATGATTGACTGCCCTACATTCACCCACCTTTTGCTCACAGCATTCTTGTCACATGGGTACAACCCCGTTGACTTGAACCCTTTTTTCACAGTGGTCATGGTGAACGATTTCTCATAAGCGGCTTTGACGACCTTACTTATGTTACGTTTGCTCAGCTGAAAGTCCGGGTTTTCGAACATTAGCCCCTGAACGATTGAGCCTAAGGTGTCCTTAAGGCTACCGAAGCAGGTCTTGTCCAGGGGCTGTAAAAAATGGGATGTGTGTGGGGGGAGGCCAAGTAAGATTATGTTTTCATCTAGTGCTGTTTGGATTGTCTTTACTGATAGGTGAGCCTCGCATTGGTCAAGGAGGAGAAGTACTGGCCTATCCGGAGGGAGGGTGCGGACGTAGTGGTTGCAGAACCATTTTTCGAACAGGTCTTTGTCCATGAACCCCGACTCCGACACTGCGTACAGGGTGTTATCCGAACCACTTTGTGTGTACGCTCCACTGGGAAAGCTCTTCTTGTAAATGAGCATGGGTGCCAATGTTTTACCTTCTGCAGTCACAGCAATGTGGAATGTTACACGGTCTTTTGTGCCAGAGCTTTTGCATGGGACCCCCTTAACCCCCTTCGGCACAAGAACTCTCCCCCGATTGACTTCCATCGATATCCCGGTTTCATCACAATTGTGAATAAGATTCGGCTTGTTTTGTAGACGGTTCTCTGCTACGATCTTAGTGTACAACTTGAAGAAATCATCTACCGTCTCCTGGCTGGACATTTTTGCCCTCTCCCTCGACAGGGGGTCTTGCGCCCGGTGGGCTATCTGCGGGTGGCGCTTTTTAAACCCCCTCCACCACTTTCTCCCAGCAACTAGTTTTCCACTTGCCTCGCAGATACGAAACCTGGGGGTTTTGCCGGTTGTTTTGCATTTTCTTTGATGGATCTCACCCGCAAGTGCCTTCAGAATGGGGACAGATATGGGGTGTCCCCATTCCGCCATTTTTCCTATGTACTTTTCTAGGCAACTTTCCTCGTCATTCATCAAAACGGTCTGACCACCGGTGGTCAAGGGGTGGAGACCCCTGAGCTGATCTGTTAAGGTTCTTCTTGGAACTGAAAACAGTTTTGATGCCTTGTTGGCATTTGAGCCACGTTTTACTGCATCGATAGCCTGCTGCATATGCGACACTTCGTATTGCTTGTATGCTTTCGCTGGCGTAGTGCCTAGGCCATTGACACAGTCCTGAAGTGTGGCCATACTGAGTCGACTGCCGGAATTCCGCTCTACACAAGGGCTAAATGACAGTCAAGAAAGAAGAAGAAATTATTTCATCACTTTGTTTCTAATTACGTATACAGACTTTTAATGTTGATCAAGTCGATTCGACAATTGATAGTGCTTGTTATATTTCTTGAATAAATCCCTTTGTTGTTTTGTGTGTGTGCATATGTGTGTGTCTCAAATAAACTGTTGAGTCTGACGCTTTCGAAAGAATTTATTTTCGAACAACACAGGGTCAATAGTTCTTATAATATATTTTACACAAGGTGAAGGAACTATATCTATAGTAATAATGATTAATTCTTAATCAAAATAACATATACTGGCAGAGCCGCACATTGAGCTTGAAACTGTTCTGTTATTTATAGAATTTCTGGAAATAACTTAGAATTTCTGGAAATAACTTAGTATTCATATGAAAACATACAGCTGTGCTTTATACATTTATGTTTTGATCATGAGTTCCTTGTATCTAAAGTAACCGTCTTTATACGTTCAACCTGGTCAACTATGGAACAAAGTGGCGAAAACTTGCACTGCACGAGAGGAACTAATAGTCCATGTACAACGCATTTCTAAAAGCCGCACTCCATACACTGCCTGTATAGAGTGGCTATTACAGCTCGGTGGGTGGCATCTAACTCTTCTAGACTGCGGAAGATGCGGTACCCGCAGTCGTCGCAGACCTCGTCTTCAGTTTCAAGATCAGTGGTAGCAGTTAAATCAGCAACCTATAAGTCAAAATCAAAAGTTTTTAAAACGTATACAAATTGTGTTTGTACTGTGGGTATGCCAGCTGAATAACGCTAAATAACATTGTCCGTCACACAGTAAGCAGATATTACATTACGATACCTGATACGTATACTGTTCTCTCACCGTCACAATCAGCGAAAGTCTCATGTGTTTTTTAACATATTTAAGCGCCCTAGATTCACGGTTGGTAAAACAACTTAGTTTGCCAAAACGGGAAAGAACACCAATGAAAGTGAAATTTAGTCCTTACTGATTCTTACCTGTCTTTCTATGTTTGGCGTTTGATGCCAGGCATCCTTGTTTGGTGTTAAGTAGTTGTCTATTACACAGCGAAGTTGAGCGACGTTTTCTGGAGCCGTTGAAATGCTCAGTTGCAAGAATATGTGATTGTCGGGCTGGGGGCACTTGCAGTCGAGTACGCAACAGTCCCAGTGACAGCTGACTTCACGGCAAACTTCCAACAAGTGTACAGATCCTTCCGGAAATTGCGCGGAAATTTTCCGTGATCCATGGATGATTACAATGTTGTCGTCCACAATGGAAACCTTGACTGGTCCAAAGATAGATGGCGAAACGTTTTTCATTGCAATGTACAATGTACTTGCTCCGACTGACGCTGCCATGCTGCTGGGGCCAGACATCTAAGGTAAGAGCCTTGAATGACTTTATAGTACACAGAGACAGCTTTGGCTCAAAAACTATGAGTCTTCCACCGTGGCACTTTTTCACATCCTGGTGCAGTGTAGTGTGGTGTATATAGTCGACCTAAAAGCTAAATGACAGTCAAGAAAGAAGAAAAAAATATTTATCACTTTGTTGAGAATTAGACTTTTAGTATTGTTTTAATGTGTATGTTACATTTAACGGTGTCCCATCCCTTGAATAAAAACTAAATGTTTTAAGAAGTAGTAACATCACAGATAGTGAAAAAAGATACGTTTGAGGCTGCATATCATTTCGTCGTTACGAGTATGCATTGGTACAGTCCAAACCTAAACATCAAATTGATGTTGAAATACTAAAACCAATATTGAAGAAGAAAAAAAGTAGGAGGTTCGGTATATAATCTGTATGGAATTAAAGGAAGCAAACGTAATAACCTAGTTATTCAAGAAATATAACAAGCACTGTCAATCGCTGAATCGATATCAAAATATTTCAGATTTGCAACGCCCCCTGCAAATAAAGTGAACCCGTCTTATTCATACCATTGCTCTTTAAAGGTATATCAGGGTCCTAATTTGAGTAAATACTACAGATAACTTAAAGCTTACGAAGTTGATACATCATTTCTCTGTTTGTTAGAAATAAATTAGATGTATTGTATGTATTTTATAATTTGTAACTTTATTTTAACACAGTTATACCTATTTATATATTACTACTTCCCCACGTGAATACAATTAGGCGAAATGGTATCTGCCGTGATCACGTGAAGGTCACAATTTGACCCCGTGGGCTGGCAGATCGCCAAGGACGGAGGTTACATGTTGTTAGACCGAAGACGTCGATCGTAAAAGATTCGTGAGGATGATAGCAGACATGTAAGTTAGACGAGGACACTGTTTAGTCCCTGAACCAACGATTCATAAAACCGGTGCGTGTTTTCTTTGCTGGTCAAGTAAAGGAAATTCCGGAAACGTTGTAATACGGCGTCCTTTAGTTTGCTTGCAAATAGGCATCGTACAGCTTGCTTCCCGGTCAATAATTAGACCCTTTAACTTGTTGACGATGTAAACTGGCTTTTACAAAGCTTTAAACTAGTTTAAGACTTGCCATTTAAACTTATTTACAAGATTGATAAGAAGATCTTACCTGTCAATGTCTTCATTTTTTACATGGGAAGATTCGAACAGTCGAAAAAGATAGTGCGCGTTCGATCATGAGTCACGCGTTCGAAGTGAAGCAGAGTTGGTAAAATACTTGAAAGCAAATGGTAAAATAAACCACAATACAGAATATTTCAGTGCTCAATCTTTATTGCCCAGTTTAGGAATATGTCTTAGATGCTCCCAGATCTAATATTTAGTTTACAGCCCCATTCTGGCGACAAAGAACACGTCGTCATCGTGGGCATGTCGCTGTCGCCAGTTATCTCGCCCAGACGCGCGGATGGTGTTGCGCGTCACACTTCCCATTTTCTTCTCCGTAGATCGTCGCTTGTCTATATATACAGAAGACTGTGTATGCATATTACACTTTGATGTTCTGTGGTTAGAAGAATCACAAGATTGATATTAAAATCGTTGCTGTATACTTAAGAAAATAATGAAACTAAAAGTGGCGAACTCGGGGTACAGTGGCGAACTCGGGCTCCCCTCCTCCTACATATAGTTTCACACCTAAAATTTTAATCAATTTCAGCATAGGAAAGTGAATATGTAAATCAGACTCGGATATTTGCATCAGGCCATTGTGAAATAGTTATAGTGACTCAAAAAAAAAGAAGTTTTTCCAGTTTGTTAGTGACTTGCTGTATAAGGGATTGTTTCCCCCTACCAAGCCAGTCAAAGTGACAGCATACTGAACAAGTGATGGCGGAGGATGAACAGCAGCAGAAAGCAGAATTCTACAGATTGGTTGAAGAGCATATCAGCATATGCCAGGACAAATCTTGATTCCAATCTAGTTCACCTACAATAGTAATAGGCTTGCCTATATACAGATGGTAATAATACACATAATAATACACACAATACACATGATACATATTTGTTGGATACATTTTGTTGGAACTGTCGAATGGGTCTGTGCGGCTGCCATTTGGCGCCACAAGGTGACCTCAATGCGACTTTCCCCAACCGAAGTTAGGTACCCATTCAAACCTGGGTGGAGTGAGGAAAGTCGTGCAAAGTGCCTTTCCTAAGGACACAACGTCGGGGCGCATGTTCAGGCATGTCCCGGGTACGACTCGGGATCGAACCCGGGTCTCCCGATTCACAGTCGAATGATGTACCACTACACCACCCGACGAAACCCGACGTAGAACACTTTGAGTGTACCCGACCCGAGTGAGGGAAGGACACATTGTACTGCCATGAAGTGTCTTTCATTCAGGCAACGTGTTTGAACACAATGGCGAGTAAGCTTCCAGCATGTGACGATTTCGACGACCAGTTTCTGAGGTGTGGTATCTGCATGCTGAACTACCTAGACCCCAAAATCCTGCCATGTCTGCACAGCTTCTGTAGGGAGTGTCTGCAAGTACGGGCCGCCAAACAATAGCCACTGGAGTTTCAACCTGCCACGAAGCGGTCAGGCTAGCAGACCAAGGTGCGGACGGACTTAGGACCAACTTCTACGTCAACAACCTGCTGGACTTCTCGGCGGCCAAGAAAGGGGCGGAGCCAGGTGTGCCGTGCCAGGTGTGCGAGGGGAACGTGGAGGGGTCGAAGTCGTGGTGTGTGGATTGCGCCATCTTCATGTGTGAGTCATGTACAGCGCTTCCCATCTTCTGATGATTACGAAGTTATTGCCGAAGAAACTCTGAATGCAGAAAAAGACATGGGCAAATTCTCTCGGAAGCGACACTGTCAAAAGCACAACAATCAAGAACTGGCCTTCTACTGTGACAGCTGCAAGGCTTTGGTTTGTACGGCGTGTACCGTGGTCGACCACCGGCCGAGCAAAGATCACAATCCTGTAGAAATCGCCACCGTGGCTCAAAAGAGAAAAGAAATGCTGCAAAGACATAGACCCGCGGCTAAGGAAAACATAGGATGCCGTGAAAGAAGTTGATAGAAAAATTTCTATGTTGATCCCTGCGAAAGAAGCAGCCACAGACCAAGCCAAGGCGTACTTCCGCAAACTTGCCGATCTTCTGCAAAAGCGTAAAGAGAACATTTTGAGCCAGATTGACGATGCCGAGCAGATGGCAAGGTTCTACAGGCAAAGAAGGAAGCGATAGATCTCTAGAGTTCGAGTTGGCCGGACTGACCAGCGCGCAAACGTTCTGCCAACAAGCTGTAGAACACGTCCAAACAAGGGTGGAAACTTTGCTGACGAAAGAAGTGGACTTGGAATCCGACTGGAGCGAGTTTTAGTTCGTCGAGAACACCACAGTCCTTAACGTCGAAAAAGAAGTTGGCAATTTCGGTGGCGTAAAGACAAACGTCGACGTTTCGAAGTGCAAAGTTGCCGTAAAGTCAGCAGTCCAGGGGTTTGAGTGCGTCGCTGAGCTGACGACACTGAGCAAAGAAGGCCGCACTTTTGTGTTACAATCAGTAAAACCGTCAAAGCTAGCATGAAGAATCCGTCTGCAAAGAAAGTCCCGACACAAGTACAGATGAAGAGCGAGGGCTTGTGGGAAATCTCGTACACACCTAGGTTACGGGTAATCATAGGTTAGAGGGTAAAGGTCAACTCACAACAGGTGCCAAGAAGTTCGTTTGATGTTGACGTAAAGGGGAACCCCGTGTTCACTATCGGACGGAAGTGCAGCGGGGTGGGGGAAGTGAGTCTGCCGTTAGGCGTCGCTGTTGATAAGGACGGTAACATTGCAGTGAGCGAGGGAACAAGAGATTTCAGGTCTTTGATAGGAACACAGGTCAGTCTTTGCGTAGCTTCCCAGTGAACGGTGAGAAGCCATACGGTATCGATGTGGACTCCGAGTGGAGTTTTTTTTGTGACGTCGTGAGGCGAAAATTTAGGACTTAGACGCTACTCCAAGGACGGAGAACTTTTGAACATATTCAAACCTGATTGTATTGCACGATCCATGTGGTCTGACAGTTTTGAAGGACGGCTGCATGGTGGTGGCGGTCCCCAATCAACACTTGTGTCTCCTCCTGCAGCCTGACGGGAGCCTCATCTGGGATATCGGCAAGTGGAAGCTACAGGTGCCAGTGTTCATGTCGGTAGACGAGTCACGCGATGTGATGTTCGTCACAGACGAGACCGCACACAAAGTATTTGCGTTTGACCTTGGTGGAAACCTAATGTTCGATTTTGGCAAGGAAGGAGACAATAATGGCGAGTTTAAAAGTCCATGCGGTGTAACAACAGACCCTGAAGGTAACATCATTGTAGGTAACGCAGGAGACGGTCGTGTCCAGGTGTTCGCGCCTGACGGGACTTTCAAACAGAAAGTGGGAACAGTCAAAGAGGGGTATGCCACTTGAGTCGCTCTGACTAGAGCTCCTGATGGTGACATAGCGGTGGCGTGTTATCGGGGAGATTGTATAGAACTGTACAGGTACATGTGAGCGGAGACCAATCAGGGCAATCCCTATTGTACATCATAATCTTTCTTGAGCATGTGTTGTAATGTACTGTTTATTTTTTTCCTTTTTGCTGTTGGTTTAAAATCTTGCATGAAGGGAAGGGTGTGTAACTTTTACTCATACATGTAGTGGAGCAGATAACATCAAATTTTGGAGGAATCTTTCAAATTGTGATACAAGCACCAAACTTGGTACAAATACTCATGAGACATTACTCTTTTGAAAAAGTACGCGGGCCTCTTGATTTGACTTTTGGCGCCCCCTAGCGGCGCTTTTTGGTACTGCAGCCGAACTTCTGGGCTTTGTATCTCCTGTTCTAAACATGCTACAGTCATGATTTTTATGTGGTAGAAAGCTGTGACAGTATGAAAGAATTGGCGTAAATTTGGTGTCTCTAACTCCTTGCGTTAAAACCGTAGAGGCGTTCTTTTGCCGGTGCACAATTTGCTTCAAGGGCGCTTTTTTGCTTCGGAAGGTCGGCTGCAGTACCAAAAAGCACCCTTGGAGCAAATTTTTTGTGATCACATGACGTCCCAAAACTAACTTCTTTCCGTGCGACAAGAGCCCAGTATTGAGCCTGCTAAAGCTAAGGTCTCAATTGGAAAAATGGGCCCCGGCGGGTAATTCCCGGGCTGTTTTTCGGCACTTTCGGGCGTGACCCCTCGGTGGCCCCGTGGGGCACACCGAGGCTACCGGGCTATTTTTGGCGACGCCTCAGGGGGGAGCCTATTGGTACAGTATTGTGTGCAGTTTGCA